GAGCCAGACCAACTGGCTTCTAATCCCACTGCCCCCCTCCCATCTTAGAGCGGTGATGTCACCTCTCTGAGCCCCAGTTTCCGCATCTTCCTCCAGGGATGAGACAGCAGTTTGGTGGGGAGGTTGGAGGGTGCAGTGAGAGGATGTAAGGGAAGCACCCACACGGGGCCATGCTCGATGCGCCAGCAGAGGAATTACATTCTTTGCAAAGGAAGCCCAGGCTTCCAGGGCAGACAGAGCAAGGTCCCTCGGCAGGGCTGTGGCTACCACTGGGTTGACGCTGCCCGGGCCCTGGTCTGCCTGTCTTTCCCGGGGCCCAGCCAGAGCCTGATTCAGATGATGAAGGATTTCTACAAAGCCCCTGGGAGACCCCAGAGCAGGGGTGGTGCCCAGTCTCTTATTAAGGGCTCCCCAAGCGGAGGTTAAAGCTGCAACTCTTGAATCACCCACCATCTTTCCCAAGTCCATTGGCCCAAATCCATATAGTAGTTCTATACTGTTTTGCTTTCGATCAACTCATTTTTTAAAAATTTATTTAAAGTGGAAAGTTACTGACCTCAAATGGAAAACCACTATCATTTACCATAAAGGTGAAGTAATCATAAAAGTTAAATACCAGGAAAGCAAAGCAAGATTTTAAAATTCTAGTTAAATCCCATTTCTTGCTGACAGCTCTGAGCTGAGTTCTGCTTTCGCGTCCTTAGCCAGTGAAGTGTTAAAGACACAGAAGCTATTAAATGAGATTTTCTCCCCCAGTAATTGGAGGAACAGGGAGAAAATCAAAAGGAAATATACGTATCATGATAGGATTCGATGTTATGTAATAGCGTCTGGAGCCCCTAAAACCATTGCTGTGCATATCATATATTGGAAAACACTGACCTAATCCAACTCTCTCTTCCTATTTTACAGACAAGAAAACTAAGGCCCCAAAAGTAGAGATGATTTGCCCCCAATCTCACAGGGTCAGTGGCTTCAGCCAAACCTAAAACCTAACCAGAACTCTCTCCACGCGTTAGAGGGGAGAATTATAAAGATGAAAGTTTAAGGACACCAGGCGTGGGATTTCAGGTATGCAGCAGTCACTAGCGACACTTGAGTGGAATGAGAGGGAGCAGGCGTGGCTCCTATCATAGCACTCCTCGGACCCCCACGCACCTTCTCTTGGAGTACAGCCTTCCAACTTCCTGTGCTCAGCACCGAGGGTCAGAGTCTGGGCTCATTCTAACAAACTACACCAAATGGCAATGCAGCCCTCTTGGCTCAGACACCTGGGTGGAGGATGTTCTGGGCCTGGAGAGAAGCGAATCTATGAAAGCAGAACTCTCTCTGCAGAACTCTCTCTCCAGGAAAGTGCATATTTTTTTGCATTTAATTGTGTGTGTGAGTGTGTGTGTGTTTGTGTGTGTGTGTGTGTGTAGGTTTTGGTCACCATTTATTTTCTTACTTTTTAATATATTTTTGTTTATTTCATAGAGGAAGGGAGAGGGAGAGAGAGATAGAAACACCAATGATGAGAGAGAATCATTGATCGGCTGCCTCCTGCATGCTCCATTCTGAGGATCGAGCCCACAGCCACGGTATATGCCCTGACCGGGAACCGAACAGTGATCTCCTGGTTCATAGGTCAATGCTCAACCACGGAGCCACGTTGGCCCGACTAACGGTTGCCAATTCCATGCGGATTTGTGTCCAAACTAATATGAGATACCAATTTTGAAGACATTAGTATGAAAATTAGATTACCTTATTAATATTTTATTATCTGTTGAACGGATAATATGCTATATATTGGATTAAATAGAATATATTATTAAATTAATTTCACCTGTTTCTTTTTATTCTTCTTTAATGCGTAACTAGAAAATTTGAAGCTACACATATGGTTCATGTTATGTTCTATTGGAAAGTGCCAATCCGGAGAATTGGGATTGGACACCCTCAACTGTGACATTGGCCTCAAACTTGGGAGCCAAGCCCAGGACGCTTCAGAGAAGATACACCTACAAGTGTGGTGGAGGCTGCTGGTTTGCAAAGACTATGAAATGTCCCTACCAGTGTGGGCTCTGGGGCCAGCGGCCCCAGCTTCAAATCCAAGCCCACCTCTACAATGAGCTGGGTGGTCTTGGGCAAATCCCTGACCCTGAATCGAGATGACAGCACCCACCTCAGTTCTGTCATTGCCTCAGGACCTTTGCGCTTACTTTTTCCTGTCTCCCCCTCACATCTTTGCACTCGTCATCCCTTTTCTTCCTTAAGATCAGCCGTGGGCAACCTACGGCCCGAGGGCCAGATCTGGCCCGTTTGAAATGAATAAAACTTAAAAAAAAAAAAAAAAAAAAAAAAAAAAAAAAAAAAAAGACTGTACCCTTTTATGTAATGATGTTTACTTTGAATTTATATTAGTTCACACAAACACTCCATCCATGCTTTTGTTCCGGCCCTCCGGTCCAGTTTAAGAACCCATTGTGGCCCTCGAGTCAAAAAGTTTGTCCACCCCTGCTTAAGATACTCCTTTAAGCAGCACCTTCTGGATGATTCCTACTGAAAAGATCTCCCCCTCGGTCATACGTGATAGAGAACAAATCTACCCAATTTTATTCCAGAAAAGACATGACACATAATCTATTTTAAATCATCTTAGTTTGTTGATTTTATGGTCTGTCTCTCCACTAATTTATAGAATCTGTGAGGACAGGGGTAGGTCAGTCTTGTCACGGATAAGTCCCCTGCATTCAGAACATGACACAGCAGGAAACAAAGTTAGGAGTGTGTGAATAAATCCAGCAGAGTGCTGGCTTCATAGATGCGCTCAGAAGACAAACAACCCCTTTCTTTCTTTGCCCCTTGTAGCTCTGGGTCCTTCCAACCTGAGTCTGAGTGCCTGGTGTAGAAAATGAATTCATTTATCCCTCGCAGGCAGCGGAGTCTCCAGGGTTAAATGAAATCCCAGACTCCCCTGCTGTGCCCTGAGAGCTCTGAGACACAGGTGAGCTGGTCCCTGGGGTTCTGGAACCAGGGAAACAAAGGCGACTCCCTTCGCCTCACATTCAGCCTCTGCCTGAGGAGTTATTTTTGACACTGGTATATTCCACACCAAGACCCAAACAGGATTTCCACGGAAAGGTGCTGGGTGCCGGATGCCGGGGGTGCACAGCGATGCTTCCCCAAACAGCAAGTGCCACTGGGCCTGCCAGGCCTGGGGTGCAAGTCCTCTTATGGCTGCCTTCTCCTCTCCGAGCCTCCACTGTGCCCACTCTTTCTATTAAGCATCTGTCTTTCTATTGAGCACCTACAATGTTCCATCCCCTGTTGTAAGCATTTTACATGTATTAATTTAATTCAAGCAACAATCCTACAAAGTGAGTGCTGTGCTATTTATAAGCCCATTTCATAGAATAGGAAATTGAAACACACACACACACACACACACACACACACACACAGAAGGGGGAAGGGGGAAGGGGGGAGAGAGAGAGAGAGAGAGAGAGAGAGAGAGAGAGAGAGACATGGATTGGCTGCCTCCTGCACGCCCCCTACGGGCGATAGAGCGTGCAATCAAGGCATGTGCCCTGATTGGGAATCTAACCGGTAATCTTAAAATGCACGGGGCCACGCCCAACCAATGGAGCCACAGCTCCCAAGGCTGAAGCAGGGTTTTAAAGAGCTTTCCGGACGGACGTAGCACCGTGGGTCTGGGCAGAGGTGAGTGCACTCTTAGGCAGGCTGGTTTTAGGGTGCTTGCTCTTAACCACTAGGCTGCACTGCTCTTAGCAAATGAATGCTGCGTAGCCCACCCAACGTCAGGCCTCCCCAGGGCACTACACTGGCCCTTTTGAGCCCGAATCAGCTTCTATAAGTCTGGTTTTTGCAAGTTCCTGGGCTGCTTTCCCAGAGCGGAGCCTCGAGCTGCACCTTAGTACAAATGGGAGTACTCGAGCTTCCTGCCGCCACGGGTTCTCTAAAGGTTTAAGAATGCACTGGTGGGAAAGTGCCTGCTAAACGGGAAGCGCCCGGGACACTATCATGGTTTGCTCTTTTTCTCCTCAGCACCATCCTGAGAAGGAAAGACATTTTCTCCCATTTCACAGAGGGGGAAACTGAGGCTCAGAAAAGCAAAATGCGTTTCCCGAGATGATAGGGAGAATCCGTGGCTGGTAGCTACACTCAAACTTGGGGCGCGGGGCGGGAAGGGAAAGGGCTGGCGGCGAGACACCCCTAGAGGGCCCGAGAGGCGAGGTGCCCTGGCGGGTGAGGGTGTGGCCGGGGCGGGGCGCGCTCGGGCACGACCCCGAGGGGCGGAGCGCCGGGGATGGTGCAATACCGGGCCCGAGCGCATCAGGCGGCGGCTGATTAGCTCAGGTTTGCATCACCCAGGCCAGAGCCGGAGCCTGGGCGCCCCGTGTCCCCGAGAAACTTGCGTCGGAAG